TGCTCAGACGAGACAAACGTTCACTGGATCCATGATTAGTTTCTGTCAATAAAATCATTACAGATAGAAAAACAAACCTGCCCATTCTTCAAGGTGTTCTGCTCGCCAGTTCAAGCCCATCTTTGTCACAAGATGATTTTAATCTGCTCAGAGGTAATCCTTGTTTGGATTCGAAGGATTATTTTAGCCTCAGCAGATAAAGACAAGAAACTCAGATTTAGTGTTGCCCTGTCCGAGAATTGCAAAGAAGCTTACGTGTTCAGAGACAAGAGAAAAACTGGAGAAAAAATAAAAATCAGTGTTTCTTATAGGAATGAATATCACCCACCACCTTGAAGATTTAAACTAAGATCTTGTTCTGATTTCAGCTGCTGTAAATTTTAGCTCTGTATTTATTAACTGACTGAGTAACTGTAGAGCAGAGGTTCTCAAACTGGGGTCCCAGGACCCCCAGGGGTCCACGAGCCCTGTCTTGGGGGTCCTCCAAAACTTTCAATAAATTGTTATTCTGGATTTTATTTGAAAAATGAATACAGGGAACAATGCACTAGTAAAACAAACATACCAAACCAAACAAAAAATAACATTCTTATAGTATTTAGGGTTAAATTATTTCGAAATTACTTCTAAAACAGCATGGTGTTTATGAAGTGGTCCCTGGAAAATTTTCACACTTGTAAGGGGTCCCCAGATCAAAAATGTTTGAGAACCCCTGCTGTAAAGGACATTTTATATCAGGTTGACTACACATATTCTGCTGTAGATGAATACTCTGTAAAAGCTGAAAAATTCATCTGTTCTGTGGTTCATGAGATATTTTGCTAACAGACAGATAAACAAAGTAAAATACATATTATCTCATACACAGGACTGTTCTCCAGTACCTTATTATTCAGCACCTTTGTTCCCTGGTACCTTTGTTTTCCAGCACCTATGTTCCCTGGTACTTGTGTTCTCCAGTACCAACAGGTGACATACGACAGTATGTTCTCCAGTACTTATGTTCCTTGGTACTTATGTTCTACAGTACCTACAGTATGTTCTCCAGTACCTATGTTCCTTGGTACCTATGCTCTCCAGTACAGACAATATGTTCTCCAGTACTTATGTTCCCTGGTACTTATGTTCTCCAGTACCTACAACATGCTCTCCAGTACTTATGTTCCCTGGTACTTATGTTCTCCAGTACCTACAACATGCTCTCCAGTACTTATGTTCCCTGGTACTTATGTTCTCCTGTACTTTCAGTATGTTCTCCAGTACATATGTTCCTTGGTACCTATGCTCTCCAGTACCAACAGTATGTTCTCCAGTCCCCATGTTCCTTGGTACCTATGCTCTCCAGTACCTACAGTATGTTCTCCAGTACATATGTTCCTTGGTACCTATGCTCTCCAGTACCAACAGTATGTTCTCCAGTACAAATGTTCCTTGGTACCTATGCTCTCCAGTACCTACAGTATGTTCTCCAGTTCCTATGTTACTTGGTACCTATGCTCTCCAGTACCTACAGTATGTTCTCCAGTACATATGTTCCTTGGTACTTATGCTCTCCAGTACCTACAGTATGCTCTCCAGTACACGTTACTTGGTACCTATGCTCTCCAGTACAGACAGTATGTTCTCCAGTACATATGTTCCCTGGTACCTATGCTCTCCAGTACCGACAGTATGTTCTCCAGTCCCATGTTCCTTGGTACCTATGCTCTCCAGTACCTACAGCATGCTCTCCAGTACCTATGTTACTTGGTACCTATGCTCTCCAGTACCGACAGTATGTTCTCCAGTACCCATATTCCTTGGTACCTATGTTTTTCAGTACCTGAACTCTAGTACCTACAGTACCAGTATGTCCTCCAGTACCTACAGTATGTCCTCCGGTACCTATGTAGTCCCATGGTTAATGACATCATTGACATCCTTGGCTCCCTCTTCAAACATCATGTAATACAAATAAAAAAACAAACAAACTGAATAACAGTGCAGGCATTGTACAGGGGACAATAGGATGACCCTGTTTTAAAGCAGCATTAAGAATTGAGGCCTGTATAAGTTTGACCCTTACTGTCACAGTTTTTATAATTCCCGGCAGTGTTTGGGTGGAGGTTGTGTTATGGGGACATCTTCACACCCTCTTCCTTTACCCGTCACACAAAATCTGTCAAAGTGTCGGCGTTTCCAGAATAAACCATGAGGCCTCCATCAAGCTGAGGATCCAGCCCATCCCCACCCCCACCCCTGGCGTTCTGCGCCTGGTTCAGTTGTTGTCATCACATTTCTTCGTGTTAACATTCAAACTGTCTGACAAATTCCCACTCCGCTCTCCGCCTCTGAAAGCAAAAATCTGGACACTAATTATAACGTCATCTTCTGCCCTGCAGGTGTGAGCAGTGTTTGCTGTCACGCTTGAATTTTTATCTGCATCGCTCCTCGTTGGGATAAGTCCAGGATAATAATTTAGGTTTAATGTTCCGAGCTGAGCAAAAAGGCCACACAGCTTATTGTTGTGTTGAGTTATTAAAGAGACACCAGACAACTGGAGTCTGCAGCTCTTTTGTCCTTTTTAGGAGCAAGAAGAGATTACATGAAGGGCTGAGTCTGGTTGTGTTCAGGTCTTTGCGGTTGTTCATAATCCCCTGTAATTCTCTTTGTGCTGAACACTCAGCTGTCAGTCACTGTTTGATGGACAGCCTGAGAATTAGGAGGATCATCCACACTCAGAGCAACAAAGCCATTACACGGTTTTAAACTTACCCTGGAAGCAGTACGTCCTGCAGCTTGATGCTGCTGTTGAAATGTCGTCTGACAAAATTGTTCCAGTTTGAATGAAAAGAGCAAAAACACACTTGTGTTGTGCACAAATAAACATATTTTACAAAAGAAAAGCAGAAGCTGAAGATTTGGACGCTCCAAAGCTGAAAAAAGCTTCTCCCATTGGCTTGACCGAAAGCAGAACATAAGTAGCAAACTGATCAGACTGCAGTAGCTGGTATCCAGTTCATCATGGTGGGCATGTTTCCACCAACGAGCTAAACTTTCATAATGGAGCTAATGTTTTGTTTAGCAGATTAGCCTTTTCACTCACTTTGAAAACCGTTAGCAGAATGGTAAACTTCTGCTGAATTAGGTTTTGCCAACTTTAGGTTCGCTAGGCTTTGGGCAACACAAACCAGAGCTTGGTCTGCATTGCCGGTAGTAAGTCAGACTCGTTTCCTTTGAGAGTTGGACTCCACCAAGGTTGCCCTTTGTCATCGATTCTGTTCATAACTTCTATGGACAGAATGTCTAGGCGCAGCCGAGGTGTTGAGGGGATCCGTTTTGGTGACTTCAGGATCACATCTCTGCTTTTTGTGGATGATGTGGTCCTGTTGGCTTCATCAGATCCTGATCTCCAGCTCTCACTGGAGCGGTTTGCAACCGAGTGTGAAGCAGGCGGGATGAGGGTCAGTGCCTCCAAATCCGAGACCATGGTCTTGAGCTGGAAACTGGTAGCGTGCCACCTCAGGGTCGGGGAGGAGGTCCTGCCCCAAGTGGAGGAGTTTAAGTTTCTCGGGGTCTTGTTCACGAATGAGGGAAGAATGGAGCAGGAGATCGACAGGCGGATTAGTGCTGTGTCTGCAGTGATGCGGGCGCTGTTCCAGTCTGTCGTGGTGAAACGAGAGCTGAGCCAGAAGGTGAAGCTCTCGGTTTACCGGTCGGTCTACGTTCCTACCCTCATCTATGGTCACGAGCTTTGGGTGGTGACCGAAAGATTGAGATCACGGATACAAGCGGTCGAAATGAGTTTCCTCCGCAGGGTGTCTGGGCTCTCCCTTAGAGATAGGGTGAGAAGCTCAGTCATCTGGGAGGGACTCAGAGTAGAGCCGCTGCTCATCCACGTCGAGAAGAGCCAGTTGAGGTGGCTTGGCCATCTGGTTAGGATGCCTCCTGGACGCCTCCCTGTAAGGTGTTCCGGGCACGTCCCACTGGGAGGAGACCCAGAGGAAGACCCAGGACATGCTGGAGGGACTTTGTTTCTCAGCTGGCCTGGGAACACCTTGGGATTCCCCCGGACGAGCTGGCCCAAGTGGCTGGGGAGAGGGAAGTCTGGGTCTCTCTGCGAAGGCTTCTGCCCCCGAGACCTGATCCCGGATAAGTGGCAGAAAACGGACGGACGGAGGTTTGCTAGCAGCTAACTAACTAACTTTTACTTGTTTAGCATTAGCTTCCACTAGATTGTTTTGTTTAACATAATTATCTGTTTAGTTTTAGCATTCTCTAGATTTTTTTTTTTTTTTTACATGTTTAGCATTAACAAAGCTATATTTTTAGTTAGTGGATTCTGAGTTAGTGAAGAACAGAAACTGGTGCTGGACATAAGTAGATTTTTGGAAAAAAATAATTTAAATGAAAAGATAAAAAAAAATAAAAACAATAAAACCTCTATGTCCCACCACTGACCGTCACATGCTACCGGATTGGGAGTGTCCGTAGTGCTGGATGTCCAAACATTCCAGACTTGATTTTTTTGTGTCAAAAATAAATCGTTTTGGTGAACAAATTTTAAAAAATAATAACCAAAAAAAATGCTGTTTTGATTTAAAAAAATGTGAAAGGATTTTTAATAAAAGCCCATAAAGAAATTTAAAAAAAATGTAAGTGATTTAAATTTTATTTTTCTAATTTAGTCTAAGATAACTATTGACTGACCTGTTTATTGTGGAAAAAATATATAAAATAGTATTATTATTTTTTATTATGTTATATTATGTTTTTATTATGTTTATGTTATTTTTTCCCCTTACCCTGGAATTATTGTTACAAAGTTAAAGAACCATCTGAGGTTAATAAAGCAGATGTTCACTACAGTTTACTCTCTCTGGACTCACAGATGATAAAAATCTGTTCCTGCTGTGGTTGTGATTGGTGCAGAAGCAGATGTGGGCGGAGCCTAGATCTGGAGGTTGTGATTTGTGCAGGGATGCGGTGGGCGGAGCTTAAGTTTGTAGGTTTTGAAAGCAGCGTTTAGTTTGGTTGAAGGAGGATGATGCGCTTGGTTCTCGGTCTCCTGGATTAAAAGTATCCGTTAATGTCGGTGTCTGGACGCTTCGTGAGGATTTTAATCACTTTCTGCTCCTATTTGTCGGCTCCTCCCAAGGAAGGAGTGTTTTTTTTTGTTCTCCGCAGCTCGTTTGGTAAGAGTTTTATTACTCTCTGTTACAACACACCTTTACAGAAAACAAATGGGGACGTTTAACAAAACTACAACTTAGCAATGTTTTTAAAACGTTCTGGATTTTCTAAACGGTGGAGAGGGGTTGTTTAACAAAACAGTTTGTGTTTTTTACTCACTAGAGTGTGACATGTGTTTTATTTATTTATTTTTGGGCTGACGGTTTCACAGTGTCCAGACTTTAAGTCTGAAACTGATCCACCTCAGTCTTTCAGTCCTGCTGTGCTGTCATTGCAGGTGAGGAGAAAACCGTATGTTTGCTGTCCCTTCAAAAGGTCAAACAGCTGCTATTTGCATCCAGTTTAGAAAAAAAGAAAAAAGAAAAGAAAGAAGAAAAAAGCAGCTTTAAGGTTTATGGGGAGAAATAAAAGGGAAAAGCCTTTCTGTTGTAGATGACTTCTTTTAAAGACACATTTTGATATTTTCTTTCTAAATAACTGACTCCAGTGTGTTGAGTCTGACATATCTGACTGTAAACCAGTGTGAAACTGGATTAAACATCTCCATTTGTGTTCTTGTAAAGTCTGCTGGAGCAGGTCTCAGATGGAGCATGAAGGTCCATGTGTTGGCTCTGAGCTGGTGGAGGGTCCTCCTCCACATCATTACTGTAAACAAACTCTGCTGTTTCTCTGGAAGTGTGAGTAGAAACCATTATAATGGATGCACCACCCCCCCCCCACCACCACCACCCCACTACCACATATTGAAGCCCTCAAAACAAACGCCCTGCACTCCACCCCCTGTAACTACTGCACAGGAATGACTGGTCAGCATGTGTGGAGGTTGTGGTAAAGATCACGCAGAGACACACAACATGCTGCTGTAGCTGTGTGTCTGCAGTAATAACTCAACACAAACTTGATGGGGCTGTGCGTGTTTTAGGAACCCTCTGCGGCCTCTCATGCTGTGCTGAGATGTGGGAAAGCCGGTCATTTCTCTGGACTGAGGCCAGGTCACACCCAGGACAGAGGCTGTGTGAAACCAGTATTGCTGTCCATCCCTTACTGGGGCGTGTGGTCTCAGAGTTTTGGCAGTGAGGGGGGTCAGGTGGAGGAATGTGTGGCACTGTTTGTGAAAAGTCACACTTGGTTTTCACACGTAGTTGATGAGTTTTCATGGCTGTAGCCTCATTCTCTGTCCTCCGGCATGGGTTTGTCTTCCGGCTGGAAGGCCATTCATATTCAGTAAAAGCTACAGATCCTGCTGAAAATGCCCCGCCAGGCCCTACAGGGGTTTAGATGTTGTCTCAAAGCGGGACTCTGAATGCACCTGATGTTCAAGGAAGAGCTTAAAGGAACAGTGTGTAGGATTTTGTCAATTCTTTTAGCCAAAATTGAGATAATCACTAATGACAATAATAAAAAACATGTCTAATCATTGCAGACAAAGACCTTGTTTTATTATTTTTACCTTTGTAAAAAGCTGTTTATATCCCCATGATCGTGGGTCGCCACTACAGGCAGCCGCCATCTTGTCTACGAAGGCTCATGAAGGACAAACTGCGGTGGCGGCGTCAAAAACGGTTTTAGTTGTAATACTATAAATGTAATATTTGTTGTCTGTCATTGTAGCTGGGATAATTTTACTTATTAAAGCTCATAATCTTACCACTTGAAACATCACTAGCCCTGAAGCTGCTGGTAGACATCGCGGTTGGAATTATCAAAGGTTTTTGACACCTGAGAGACACCGTAGCAACTCTTTTGTGTTTGGAAGCCGGGGGGTGGGGGGGGGGGGAGGACCAGGGAGGATGATTCAACCACTAGATGTCGCTGAAAACAACAAATCCTACACACTGTGCCTTTAAAGGGCCTGTGGCATTAAATTTTTGTGATAAATGTGATTGCACTTTTGGAAAGATAACATAGATAACATATTGCTAAAGCAATCTCACACCACTGAGATGAACAGTTGTTGAGATATTTTCCTGTGAAGTAACAGGAAGTGATGTCAAAGGGGAACGTCTGCATGTGAACAGAGCATTGCTACAACGGCTAACAACACAGACAGTGGGACTTTCTGATGTTTCTTTAGATAATGCTAGCCCCATAAGAGAGAGAGATGAAGAAAAGTCAAAGTTCCCATAATATTGTTTTAATAAATAAAGACAAGGGAGTTTCCTTTCTTAAAGAGTTCTCCTTTGATGTCACTTCCTGTTTCACTTTAGCTGAGCCAAGTTCAAAGGAAAATATGCCAGTTATGTGACAAAATGGTTTAAATCACACGTTTTATGCCAATTTTCCTAAAAATTAAGATATTTTCTTTGACCTTTTGTATTTGAAGGATAAGCATGTCACAGGAACTTTAAACGTAGCACAAAAAGTAAGTACATTTGCGTTGGGTGGATTATAAATTTTTTAGTATTAATGCTTTTAGGCAATAAATCATTTTCTATTGGAAAGTCTGTTAATTTCCCTTTAAATGGTGCCTAATTTGTAAGGAACATGCATTTGTGGGATGAGCAATAGAGCTGAGTATATGGGTTGTGCATCTAAAAAATGAGCTAAATCTCTGCCAAACAGCTTATTTTGCAACAGCGATATTGACTCTTGTTTTGAGCTTCTGGTGCTCCCAGGTGCTGCCAATCAGGTGCCCGCGATAAGATTTATTACCAAGAAGCATTGTTACAACAAATAACTAAATTTACTTCTTCTTTGTGCTAAGTATTACATATTTTCTGTTTCCTACATTTCCCCGCTGCTTCCTCCTCTGACATAGACTCTTTGTGAGTCGGTACCTGAGCGTGGTATAGTTGGGAGCTGACTCTTCAAAACTAAAGGAGCCTCTCCGGTGATAATAAGAACGATTGTGTCTGTCTGCCTGAGTCCAAGGTCGTCAGAAGTGCCCTCCGCAGGGCTTAACAGGAGAGCTTATCTGAAGTGGTTGACTTTGGATGGAAACATTATGTAACAAGTTCTTCTCCAGAGAGAAAAACTCTTTCTTTCACTTGTCTTAAAAGAAATGTAAAGGAAACAGATGAACTGTGATTTCTGTAATGAATGTTTTTTTTAAGCTGTTTGATAATCAAATCTTATATTTCATCTGGGAACAGACACAGATGTTGTGGTTTAATTCTCTCTGAAACCAAATAAAGATGAAGCATTTTTCATGGAAATATTTAGCTATAAAAACAAAGAATTCATATTCCTGCAGCAGGATGAGGGGAATTTATTAGCTGCTTGCTGTTAGAAGGAAAAAAAACTTCTGCTCAACTGAATAAGCAGGAGTTTTATTGAAGGAAAATACTGCAGTTTTGTTTCTTTTTAACCGTATTAACCCTTCGGTGGGTTTGGTTTTCCTTAGCCTGGCTTCTAAGTTCTTTGAAAAGAATAGTTTGTGTAAATATTAAAACATTTAACAAATATTAAAAATGTGAATGAAAATCTGCTGTGGCTTAAGAACTACTCTGAACAACTTTTACCCTTTTATATCAGCTCTTTGACACATTTTTGATTGACCGATTGATTGATGATGACTTTATTGTCATTGGAGCACAATGAAATTACATTTAAGAACATTTACGCACATGTAGGATTTTTCTGTTTGACGTGATTCATTCAGTGTCACTCCATCACACAAATCTACAGGAGATTTGCCGTCATGTGAGACCTTGAGTTGACTGGGCCCAGCAGAGATGTTCTTCCAAAATCCATCTTCTCACACATTTACCATTCATGTCCAAGCTATCCAAACAAACAGGTGGTTGTGTGGTGACTGAATGTGGCGGGAACCCACTCACTTTGTAACAGACTGAGAATATATCAGGCTTTGGGTGCCGTTGCTATTTCCCCCTTCAGCTTTTGCGATGCCACCTCAAATGAATAAATAATTTCATAGGTTTTAATAACACAAATTTCAAGCAAAATCCTTGATTTCAAGGTGGACTTTTTCACCATCTTGTTTTGATACAAGACACGCAACAAAGGATTTGATTGGTCAGAGCCGTAGGGGACTGAAATGAACGAAGGGGCTTATGGTGCGTTCACACCGAACGCGATTTCAGCATCAGGAGCAGCAGGTTTACATGCACAGTCTATGGTGGACGCGCTTCAAGCAATGTCGGGAAGTTCTGCGGCGCCTCAAGCGCGATTAGAGCAGCGCGATTTGAACGATTTGAACGATCTGAGCGTTCGACGCGCTGAGGRGCAAATCGCTGAAGTTAGAAAATCTGAACTTTTGCAGCTCGACGTGCAGCATCAACCAATCAGAGAGACTCCACTGTGTGACATAACGACATATTTCCCGACGGGACAGTTTACTGAATGATGTCCACTAACCTGAAACAGATGGAGAGGAGCTCTTTAGCTGAAATGAGTGCTGCAGTCGTGTCC